TATTCCTTTGATTCCTTTCATTTGTCTAATTGCTCTGGCCAGCATTTCAAGAACTATGTTGAATAGAAGTGGTGAAAGAGGGCAGCCCTGTCTTGTTCCAATTTTTAGAGAAAATGCCTTCAATTTTTCTCTGTTTAGAATGATGTTGTCCTGAGGCTTAGCATAGATACCCTTTACGATGTTGAGATATGTTACTGTGATCCCTAGTCGTTCTAGTGTCTTGAACATAAAGGGGTGCTGTATTTTGTCAAATGCTTTTTCTGCATCTATTGAGATGATCATTTGATTCTTATCTTTGGGCAATTGATGTGATAAATTACATTTATTGATTTGCGAAAGTGGAACCAACCTTGCATCTCATGAATGAATCTCACTTAATCATGGTGTACAATCTTGGTAAGCTGTGATTTCTATTTTATCACTTGATAGTGGTCTGTTTCAATTGTGTATGTCTTCCTGATTCAATCATGGCAGATCGTATGACTGAAGAAATTTCTTGATAACTGCAATGTCTTCTATTATTCTCTGTATTTCTGTCAGATCTGTTGTAATATTATCATTTTCATCACATATACAGGTAATTTGAGTTCTCTCTCTCTCTCTTATTCTCTTTGTTAGCATGGGTAAGGGTCTGTCAATTTTATTTATTTTTTTAAAGAACCAAATTTTTGTCCATATTATCAACTGTTTTATTTGTTTCAATTTTATTGATTTCAGCTCTAATTTTAATTATTTTTTGCCGTCTGCTTTTGCTGCTGGTTTGTTCCTCTTTTTTTAGTGCTTTGAGAGGTAGTGTCAGGTCATTTATTTGTTAACTTTTTTTTTCTTTGAAAGAATGAATGCCATGCAATAAATTTTCCTCTTAGTACTGCTTTCATAGTGTCTCAGATTTCCATCGGTTTTTTATATGTTCTTGTTTATGCCTAAGTAATATTTAATCCCCTCCTTGATTCCTTCTGCAATGCATTGTTCATTCAGTAACCTATTGTTTAGTCTCCAGGTGATGGAGAAATTTTCATTTTTTTTTTTGATTCCCAATTCCATTTAATTATGATCTGATGAAATATATGGTAGTGTCTCCACTTTTTTATATTTGCTAAGAGTTGCTTTGTGGCATAGTATATGGTC